GAAAAGGAAGAATATTTTAATCCCTCCTAATTTTGGGTTCTTAGCACCTGATTATCAAATAATCTGCTAATAGTTAAAGCTTAAGGCTTTGAGATGATTGTTCGTTGGGTAGTATTTTTAGGAATTGTTCAACCTTTTCATTTCTTTCCGAGCAATCAAAGAAGAATGTACGCTTTGTCAGAGATATATGAATTTCTTGAGTTTGTTTCTTTGTTCACTCTTTGGCTACTATTACTAAAAGGATTCTGATAATGAAGAAAAGAGTATCAGGAAATACCCTTAAAGAGACTGTAATACTTTGGGTTCTAAATCAGGCAATAAATTTGTGGGTGTATATATAGTATAATAGATAATTTTTTGGTTCACAAAGGTGCTTTTGAAAGGGGGAGATATATGAATGTGGTTGTACAGAAGGCAAGACACCCTCAGCTACAAGAATATATCCATTCTGCTGTTGCTGGGCTTCTTCCTTTTATCCAAAAGGTTAGTTTCCTGAGTTGATTTATTGAATTTTGCCCACATTTTGTTGATGTTACCTTTCCTAAGTTGATTTATTCAAATGGTTGGATGCTTAATGAAGTCTTTTTGTTCAAAGTAAAATTTGAAACTCTTTTCTTTTCTTTTCTTTGTTTTCATCTGAATTTTTCAGCTGACTTCTTTTTGAAATGATTGTCTCAGTTTATGTTGTATAATACTTGCTGAAATAGGGCCAGTCTTTCTGATATAGCTTAATTATACAGTAAGAATTTGATGTGGAAAAAGCCCTTGTAGTGCTGCACAATCGCACATCAGTAGTTATCCTATGTCTGTTACAGTAAGACTTAATTGTACAATTGCTGAATTTGTTATGGAAAGCCCTTGTAGTTCTGTACAATTGAAGAATATGTTATTCTCTCAATTACTGTCTCCATAAATTTATATGCAGTTTGTTTCCTTCTTAGGATAGATTATCATAGTTCTGCTGCCAACTGGTACCACTGATGTGATGCCTCCAATATATTGTTCAGATGCAGTGTTAAAAATGCATTGATATGGCTATATATTATTATTGCAATGTTATGAAACTTTACTTTGCTGGAATGTTCTTTTCTATGAAAAATAGGGTCTAGTGGAAAGAGTTGCTGTTATTTTTTCCAACAATGACAACATTCCAGTAGAGAGATTTGTTTTCAAGCTAACAACAAATCAATGCGATGGCTTGGATGTGGAAGAGAGTGGTCTAGAATTCTCTCTTAGATCATTCTTGATCAAGCTTTCAGTCTCCCAGCCACTTATGAAGGTTTTACCCTGTGGTAAGTATTAGATCTGCGAGTTTACCAATTTGTCTCCTGCACTTGATGTCCAAGATTACCTTTGAAGCCATATAATTGTTTTTCTGGATAATAGTTGATTGCAGGTGGGAGATAACAGCTTATTTTCGTTCCCTTGCTCAGGCTAACATGGGCAAGGAAGCAGACTTGTGGATTCCAACCAACATAAAGCAGTGGCAGCAACCTCCACTAATCACCCCAATCAAGTCAATGAGTACTGACCCTTTGTCTTTGCAGTTATACCTTGAACATCCGAGCATATCTGAACCAAACCCAAAGCCTTAGCAGGGAACTTCCGCAGCATGACAGCGCAACATATATATACCACATAGTTGTGTGGTTGCTCTGAAGCTATGGAAGTCACTGGTTTTTTTAATTTTGTATCCCCTTTTTCTTCCTATATTTCATCCTTCCATAACAATTTGTTCATATTGGCAACTTCTCTGTTTTATGATGGTTCAAGGGTGTGGTAGGTTAGTTGTTCTCTTGAGGACTGGTGAGGAAGCACTCACATGTGGGAAGCATTTGGTTGTAGCAGATTGGTGTATTAATGGACAGTAGAGCTTCCCCTCAAGCTTTCAATGGAGATACCCAAGCTTACATTTGAAAATTTGAAAGTCTCCCGGCAGTATGGAAGTGATGGGGTGATTTAGGTGTCTGATAAAAAGGCAACTTTTCTACATACTCCTGTAATGAATTACTTAGGAGAGAGAGAAGTGTGGTTAATTTTCATAGATTAATGTGGTCAACTAGCTGCATCCCAAGCATAGCTTCATTTTATGGGTTATTGACTTTTTTTTTTTTGTATTAATCTCTTGATATTTAGTAATCACGTTGAATTTTGATTAATTCAAAATTGGGTTACGTTAAACCTTATATAAGGAAACTTTTTTAACATTTATTTCTCCATTTATAAAATTTAAACTTAAAATTTTATTTAAAACAAGTTAAATTCTCTTCGTTTGAACGAATAGGTCATCAATGTTATTTACTTATTATTGCTTTCAAAGAGACTTAAATACGTTGTGTCGTGGAGAATGCATTCAATATGAAAAAATCTGCTGTATTATAGGGAAATGTGTTTAGAAAATGGTTGGGTTTTTTTTTTTTAATTCTTTCTTTCGCTTTGGATTGCTGAAAAAAATGCAATCTGGTGTTATAAAAGTACAAAAATACCCAGTCATTAAGACTTTTTTTTTTTTTTACAAGTAAATGGTTAGAAAATTAGTAAAGTTAGTTTGCTAGCAGCTGAAATTTTTTCAGGAAAGTGAACTTTCACCCACTCATTTGAGGCGCGCGACCATTAAGTCGCAAGTTGGTAGAGTTTACGACGGTAACAGAACTCAAAGCCATGACCGTCTCACCCAAGCCCTAAAACTTGGGGCCAAACAATTGGGCCACAGGTTGGCGTCATTAAGACATTTCTGATGTATCTGAACCAATAAAAAATTGACGGTTCATTAATTTTATTTTGTGTGGTTGCGTTGAGGAAATGTGCCTATAAAGGGGTAAATTTTATTTTTTTATTTAAAAATATGAACTTTTATGATCTATAAATCAAATGGTATTTTTTTATATATAAGAATACGAGTTTCATTTATTAGATGATTATAGTAATATGACAAGTGATGATTTTAATGGAAATAAAATAAAATTTATATTTTTAAATAAAAAAAAGTAAAATTTATATCCTTAAATAGATAAAAAAAAAATTTTAATTGATTTAAAAACTCAAATAATTTATATCTTTAAATTGAAAAATTGACCGAATTCATATTCTTGCGATTCCATCGACCCCTGAACCCTTATTTGTTGGCTCCCTCCAAACACATTATTTAACAACAAAGATGAACACCTTTGAGCCCTAATCCTAAGATCCAGCACAAGCCCACAAACCTCCATTCCCCAATCCATCCTCGATTCTTGGGAACAAGAATATGGTCTCAACTCCTAACATTAATAATTCCAACCAAGTTTTAGGTTATTACGTAGACATATGTGACTGATCTGTCCAAGTTTCCATGCCAAGGTAGTTTATTATAGTTGTACCTAAATATGAATACAATAGACAACCGTGTATGTGTTGAATAGCTTGCAAATATTAACATCCCACGTCAAAAAAAGTATGGGAACTTAAAAGAAGTTTATAGAGGTTTATTTTTTATCAATAAATAAATAAGTAAAGTAAAATCTAAAGTAAATTAGACCTTATCCTTTATATATATAGTCAAAGATGGGCACTTGTGGCTTGACTTCCAGAACATTATTTTTTTATTATTTTTGGAATTTATAATTTATTTTATTAAATTCAAATTTGGAGAAACATGTCGGAAAATCATACATAACTTTTGGAAGGTTAAATATACTTCTATGAGATAATGTCTTTTTGTAAAGATATATCTCTACAAATAGTGACTTTTTAGATAATATAAATTTCTATGCAAAATCAGAGTTTTATATCTAATTTTTGAAAGAGTTTTGAGTTTATTATATTATGGAGGATTTTTAAATATTTAAGAAAAGTGAGATTACGCCTCAGAACATTCATTTTCATTTTTTCGCAATTTCATTTTATTTCTTCAACAGTATGATGAGAAAAAAAAAAAACTTACCTAACTATGCATGGATGATAATATATTGATATAAATGTTTTAAAGTTGAAGTTAAGGTAATATGTTTAAGGAGAATAATTGATATATGCTCCGATTCAATACATTGTATAATATATTCATTAAAAAAAGATTTTTATCTAAAATTAAAGATAGACAAACTTAAATATACAATCATGCATATAAGATATAAGAACCAACTAAATTAGTCATACTTATATTATATTTTAATAACTAAATTGAAAGGAATGTCAAAAAAATGTATTAAACGGAATGCATATAAATTGTTTTCCTATATTTAAGTATTGATACTAATACTCCATGTGTGGTAGAGAGATATCTTGTTTTATTGAGCAGTAACCCATATCTTTCTTATTTAAAGAAAAAAAATTATTAATGCCAGTAAATCATTTTTTTTAAATTGAAAAAAAAAAAACGAATATTGTTTAAGAATCAAGGTTCTAAGATGTTTTCTAGGCATAATCATACCAATAGTAATGTACCAAATTTTGTCAAAATTTCGTAATCAAATACACATGAGTGAGAGTGTTACTAGGAGGTAACCTTATTGCTCCCTTTTATGGATAAAAAAAAGGCATGTGTTGATTGTATAGACAACCTGGCAATGTAAATTTGCTTTTAATATAAACCAAACGTATGGCAGCCAATTAATTGATTTAAGCAGTCCAGAAGCTCAATGCCTTCGTGAATAGCTTGACTCATTAACTTATGGTTTGTGACGAAAGGAATGTAATTAATAATACTGATGAGTAAATGAAACAAAGAGAAAACAAAAGCTCATACCACTAAATATTGGCCAGCTCGTTCCTTTTGAAATGAATAGTATAACGCCAATGTTTATTATTATTATTATTTAAAGTATTCCGTCTAGCTAGTTTTATTTATTTGTCTATATAACTAACTCTACATGTAATTTTAAGTGATATTTTTACATAGCATATAAAAGGTACTGTGTTCCTGATCCTGGACCTGAATATAGTGAAGACTACCGAGGCAAGGATGTCATGGTACAATATCCCGTCAAGCTTGCATTTTTATGGTGGCGGAAGAAAAAAGAATGTCATGGCTTTTGGTGGGACTATGTGACAGAATTCGCCTTGCGTTGCTCAATGAAGGAAAGGAAGTTCAACAAAGATTGTGCAGACCAAATTATTCATTCTCTTGGTAAGGTTGCGTGAGTAGCAAACTAATTTGTTCCCCTGCCTAATGTCTAAAAATTTCATGGAGCTAATTGATTGGAGGAAGTATCAATTTATATGGTTCCACAAACAATTGAAATTCAATTTTTTGCTTTGCATTTTTATACTTCTCAGGTGTCGATCTAAAGAAGATAAACGAGTGCATTGGAAATCCAATGGAAGATGAAAAGAACCCAATTCTTGAAACGGAGCAGAATGCACAGGCAATCAGGATTTTTCAGAAACATTTTGGTTGATATATTCCGGCAGCGATTGAATATCATTTTTTTTAAAAAAATTTTCTGTGCTTTTTTTTTTTTTTTTTTGGTCAGGGTGGAAAAGGCTCACATAGAGATACGAATATTGTGCCCAGTCTCAAGAAAAATGGTGTCAAGTACCAAGGTTTGAAACAGGATCTTTGGACATCCTTAATTTTGATTGATTAGAGTCATTAGACTGAGTGATTTTAGTTTTGTAATAAATTTTTTACTTGTTATATTTCAGGGAAGTTGGAAAGGAAAGCAGTTCTCCAGGCTATTTGCTCAGAACTCCCAAAAAATATGAACTTGCCTGCAATTTGTCTTCATAATGATGCCTAAACTTCCTTATAATATATATGGACTTTTGGGTTCATATCAAAACCTCTTTCTATAGATTGAGATATTAAGATCATTATGCTTTTATGGTAAAACTGATTTCTCTTTTGATATTTTTATTTATGCATTTTTTCTAGAAGCTTTGAGAGCTTTTCATTAAGGCATCATGTTAAGAAACTAATAAACCTTTTCACACAAAGAAAAAAGAAAAGATTCCCTTCTCTTCTTCATGCATCTCTCATGTGTACTGCGGACATTTTTCTTGAAACAGAAGGCTCCATTTCATTTTGATTGAGTTGAGCTTTCTTGCATTTCTTTGATCAAATTTTATCCATAGTAGAGTTCTCAAGAAAATCTGGACAGTTTCAGTTAACATTGTCGAAAATCGATATCAAGCCTGCCTAAAGTGTTCAAACTGATGGAACCGATTATGAAAATTGAAGAGCAAGAACGCAGGAAGTTATTCCAGCATCCTACTATTTCCACACTTCTTCATGATTTCGATCAATTTGAAAACTTTTTCTTGGCTCCATACTCTACTGATTGCGGGAATTCGAATGAGGGAATAAATCTAGATTGTACAGGTGAAGTCCTTCATGCCGAAGTGCCGATTATTGAAGGAAATGTGCTGGGGGCAGATCATCATGAGCAATGTACTGCACTAACCATAACTGAGAAAGAAAAGGATTTAGGGGAAGATTGGGGCAAGTGTGAAGAAATGTTATTGGAGTTACACTCTATTGTTCCTCTGCATAACAAGGATCTTATTGATTTGGATTTAATTGATGAAATCCTCAAAGCTGCTATGGAAACCATAGCTGAAGATGGAAAAAATCCTGCTGCAGAAGGTGAAAATGTTGCCATCCAAACCATCGATATCGAAGATAATGCTGAAAGCCATGGTTGTCCTAGCAATGGAAATGCAAAGATTTTAGAGCCGAAGCTGGAGGAGAATGTGAAGGGATGGACCACTCGGAGAAGGTACAAGAAGGGCTCTGTAGAGTCCATGCAGAGAAATGAAGAGAACAAGATCAAGAATAGAGTCAGCTGCTCGATCATTAGCGATAAAGCAGGTCAGTATCAGATTTCTCATGCTTAATTAATTTCAATGAACCATTTCGAGATCAAAAAACAAGAATTCTAGTGACTATAAATGATGAACGATTTCGAGTTAATTAGTGCTTATTCTGGTTCTTTGATCATCAGGCTTATCTCCATAGCCTGGAGTATGAGTTCCACAGGCTACAGAAGAAGAATACATTCCTCAAAAAACTGCTCAAGGTAATCACAACTCTGTTTTTTCTCTTCCTATTCTACATACCAAACAGTTATTCTACATAGAGTTTTTCAAGTTTGTATCTTATAATAGTAATAGAAAATCCAAAAGCAATTAATTTGCGTCGGGGGGCTGTTGTCATCTGTCTGTTGATATTTATGTTGTTTGTTTACAAAGCTTTGTTTAAGAAAATATTTACACACAAAAACTGATACAAGTTGATTATTTTTACTTTTCCATATTTAGTTTCTGAAACAGAATCCAGGAAGTGAGGTGAAAGGAAAACAATTGAAGAGGATTGCCTCAGGACCAATATAATGCGTGAGTTTCATCGAATATAAGGCTATTGATTCGGGAAAGCCTTCTCATAGATTTGGACTTGCATCTACTCATGAGACCCAACAAGATGAAAATGGAAACAATAAGAATCATGAAGCAGAAGAGGTGATCACATTTCCATGTTGTTTGGCTTTTATTTTATGGATCTTGGATAATTTTAGTCCTTGAATTAGATTTGCAATGATGAAATTGTACTGTATTGTATTTGTTTGCAAAACATATAAGCAACCTCTTTTCATTGCAAATCACTTGGAAACATAATACAATTGTGAGTATTGCAGCAGCTAAGTTTTATGGTCTTAATTTCCTTCTCCTTTTTGTTCATGCCTCCCAAGTTTAATTCTTGGGTTTATAGTTATTTATTTGTGTTCAATTAGTTTAATTGATTCAACAAAAATTTTCATGTTAGTTTGTCTTGGTCAGCAAACCCAAATAGGTCAAGTGAAAATATCCTATATTGAAAAAATAATAAAGAAATATTTAGGTTAAATACAAGGTTTTAGATTAAATACAAACTAATATCCTATCATCAAATTCATGTGAGGAAGGCCTCCTAAATCTAAAGCCTAAGATCCACCACCTGACAACCCTCAAAAAAGGCATAATGAGCAGGGTAAAACCTTGTGTTGAAACCACCCCATTTTCACTGGGTATAATTAAGAAACATCAATCAAGCAAAGATAATGACTGCTCATGTTAACCATTATCCTTCGGAAGGAGATGACAACAAGATGTGCTAGTGAAGGGACCCAAAAAAGTCAACTATGAGTATCAAGGGCCAAGTCTCTTTTTCCTCATGAATGTTTACATCAGCAGCGTATACGTAACCATGAATCCAATAATGCTCTTTTTTGTCTTTTAAATTTGTGTGGATAAGATTATGAGTTAAATGACTGGAATGTAGTTGAAATATCCTCTGACGCGGTAGGGAACAAGGTTGCCTTCTTTCCAACATTTGCAGCAATTTGATAGAAGAGTAAATTTTAATTAGATACTAAGTAGCCAGTATTTTAATTATATTAAATGTATTGAGGTCATGTGATGTAATTTGTCTTTTTATATGTTGGTATATAGTGGTAAGAACCACTCAAGTTTGTATAATGTAAGAAGCAAGCTCCATATATCAGTAAATGATATCAGATGAAGACATATGGTTATGTTCTCTATGTTTTCCCTCCATTTCTACTCTCTATTTTTCCTCTTCCAGTGAGCTTTCCATGCTTATCTTTTTCTTATCTCCATCAAAGCGGTATCAGAACTTTATTCTTGAGGGACCTATAGTGAGAGAGTGGAAACATGAGTGTATATGAGGGAGTCTACTGTGTAATCAAAAGGCACAGTTATGTCTTCAAACTACCATGGAAGATCTGTTTCTAATACTCCTTTGTTCACTAGCAAAAACTACAATGTCTAGGCTATCAAGATGAAGACCTTCTTGAGAGGTAATGATGTGTGGGAATCTATAGAAAAGGGCTTTAATCCTCCACAAAATCAAGCAGATTATGTTGTAAGATCCTACAAAGCTTTGTCTTTCATACTGTTGAAGAGACATAT